CTTAGGTTGGAGGCCATCGCTCTCAGGTTGGAGGCCATCGCTCTTAGGTTGGAGGCCATCGCTCTCAGGTTGGAGGCCATCATCGCTCTTAGGTTGAAGGACATTGCTCTTAGGTTGAAGGACATCGAACTTAGGTTGGAGGCCATCGCTAGTAGGTTGGAGGCCATCGCTCTCAGGTTAGAGGCGCGGGAAAAAGCTCCTAGTAGCTTCTTGTTTCCAGTAGTAAGGCTAGGAGCCCCTAGTAGCTTCTTGTTACTAGAAGGAAGAAGCGATGCCAGGAGCCCCTAGTAGCGTCCTCACCTTCATGCTTTTCGCCACGGTGGCCATGCTCTGCACCGCAGCCGCTTTGGAGGACCCGCCGGAAGCTCCCTCCGGCGGCGCGTTGCCCGGGGGCCCCGCAGCCGGCGGCGGCGGAGCTCCAGGGGGAGGCGGCCCTGAAGTCACACGCTGGAAAGAGTTCACAATATAGTTTGCTGATCTTTGCCTTTAGGATTCTTTTGATTCACTTTTCCTCCATACTTTTCTTCTCTGCTTCCATCTCTGAAATGTGGACAAAGGGTGATCATGGGTGGGTGGGTCAGTCCACTCAGTCTGGCCTTGATCTAATTGTTGAGGATTTTCCACCCTCTGCTCCTTGGCCTTGGGTATGCGCAAAGAGCAGTCTCTGTACTAAGCAGAAGAATCTAGACCATCTCCAACCCTGTAGTCATCTGTGGCATTGAAGATTGCGTAACTATGCAAACGTTAGCATTTCTCTCAACCTCTCAACCCGATGCCAAGACACATTCGCTTGGTTTTGAGACTGCATGGCCTGATGCACTGGGCACTGCCACACCCAATCCAGAATATCCAAAATGAGCAATTTTGTCCATGTGACACCATGTCAGACCATGTGATGGGTAATGAAGATGGAAAAAGAAAAAGCTCTTAAACACTCGAAAACGCTACAAAACTCTTTCAAAACTTCAAGACTCTAACGCTAAGTGCATCGCTAGTAGTAACAAGTGCCTTACTAGTAGTAACAAGAAGCTATTAGAAACAAGTGCATCGCTACTAGTAACAGGTGCCACGCTAGTAGTAACAATGCTAGTAGTAACAATGTTAATTTAAAGTTAATTCGAATAGCTTTCTTGTTACTACTAGTAAGGCACCTGTTACTACTAGCGTGGCACTTGTTACTACTAGTAACAATTTTACGTCAGCTACGTTGCTTCTGACATTTCGGCCGCTCAGCCCAATCGGTTTCCGGCGCCTGATATTCTTGCGCCTCTTCCTTCTGCAGGCTGGGCGGGTCGACGCATGTTCGAGTCTCAAAGGAGAAGAGTTTGCCTGGCGAAGCCAAGTCTTCCCTCAATCACACATTTATATATATAAGTGCATCTTTCAAGCAGGGGTGTGATTGAACAACCCACGGTGTTGCCTGATCCATGATTTCATGATCAACTATATATCTTGGCACATCCTTCTCCCTCAAGAAAAATGCTCTCTCTTACATTCTCTTACTCTACCCTCCATCCATCTCCATCCATCTCCATCCCCTCTCTGTCCAATATCACCGGCCTTGGAAGCAGCAGCAGTGGTCCTTCTTCCCAGAGCTTTCGCCTGGACATGCTTGAGCATCTTTGGTGCTGCACTTCCCACGCATCCAACTTGGCTTGTCGATCGACTTGGGTATCCGCCATCGGCCTCCGTCCGCAAAGCACTAAAGAAAAGCGGGTTCTGAGAGGATGAACTAATGAGTCAGTGAGAAGTGAGAAGTGAAGTCTATTGCTTCCATATTTAGTGCATGATTGACGTGAGCTCTACATTCTGTTAACACCGCTTTCGCTCGAATAGGGCATCGAATCCGAGATGCCACGACCAGAAAACTCCAGAATCACTTGCTCTGCAGGCGCAGGAGCTGGATCCGCCTTTGGGGACGGAAGAAAAGAACCGATTCCAAAAACGTCGCTGGAATCGTTTGGATGTCGTTTCACCAGAATTGTCCCAGTCTGGGAAAAAAAAGAGCAAGTGCATCGCTACGTTCGTAGCTTCTTGTTACTATAATATCCTCTGTGGAATAAGTGGTGGGGGTTGAGAACCCCATTTTATAGTGATAAATGACTGAACCAGGCTCTGGGAGCACAATGCCCCCACTATAGAGTCTAGCTTTCAACCCTTGTAGTGTACAGCATAGTTTCTCTATAGATAGAATAAAGGGAGTCAACCCTTTAAGGCACTAATGTAACAGAATTGTAGGCTCAAAATCTGAATTATCCAATAGAAACAGCCAGGGGTGGTCCTCATTCTAAAGACAAGTGGGTGTAACATCAAGGCTGACATATTATTTTAGAGGAAAGTTACGCAGCAATGGCAAAAGAGGTTGGCATTTTATTCTATAGAAACATGATTGAACATTGCAAGGTTGAAATTCATTTTATTTAAAAAAAATGGACAGAAAATGACACTCCCAAAAACAAGATATGTCTATAGAGGTTGATATTCATTTTATAAGGACAGGGTTGGACACTCACAGGTTGATTTTTTATTGTCCTCAATTGTAATGTATTCTCTATAAAATGAGGGCGATCAACCTATTGACCCATCAATATATGATTTTCTCCCCTCAGAGATCCTCAGAGTGGATCTGTCTCAGGTAGGTTGACATTTGATTCTAGAAAAAACTCTATAAAATGCCAGGTCATTTTGGAGCTCAACCTCCCCCATTCTATAGGGGTTATTCGGCAGAGGATACTACAATAGTAATAGCTTTCACCCTAACAGCGATGGCCTCCAGTAGTACCACCTAGTAGCTTCTTGTTACTAAACCTTGGCCCAAGTGTGCATGAGTTATGTTCGAATCACAAGACCTATCAGACCTATCTGGACGCTTGATGTTCAACTAGACTTGACCTAAGGGAAATTCGCACGGATCCCTTCGACCGTCTCGAATATGCGACGTCAGCTGTTTGACCAAGGAGCGTAACCAGCACAATGGCCACATTTGTCATGCTCCAGCTCATAAACGCAGCCCCGGTGACAACACCATTTTTTCTGGTCGTTCATGCACCTCAACAGTTTCAGCGATCAAGAAGATTGCTGTGTAAAAGCTATGGCTTGAGGAATGTTTGCAACAAATGCCAATGCAAAGGAGTTAATGTTAATATCTGCTGCTCATTTGGTCTGAAACCAATATAAACCAAGTCATTTCATGGCATCAGTTTCTGAGAGTCTGGCTTGTCTGCAGCACCTTTCTTGTGAGTGAATCCCCAGGTCTGACTTCCTGGAATGGGATCCTCACAAGGAATTGCAACTGATCGCTCAACAAGAAAGGGGGATGAAGAGGCTGAAGTTTTTCGAGCCAAGGCAGCCAAGGGATTAGGCTGGAGGCCATCGCTAGCAGGTTGGAGGCCATTGCCTCAACTCAAGATTCTTGAATTCGACTCAGCTGGGGTCCTCTTTGTTAGCCGCATCCTCATTGTCGACTACGCATTCCCTGGTTTTGAAATCGAAGACGTAGCCTGCATCATCACACACTCTGAACTCCAATCTGCGTGTTGCTCTTTCTGTGTTGCGCATCAGTCTCTTGTACGGTACATCGTCTCTCTTGAACCGATCCTTGCCTAGGTTGCAGCAGCAAACCTTCGCCTTTTCCTCACAAAGCTGTCGATGCCCGATGTCCACGAAGCAGACTCTGGGGGTCACGCAGTATGCAGAAATTGTTCCTAGTAGCGTTCTTGCTCCTAGTAGCGATGCCCTTTGCTACTAGTAGCGCCCTTTATAGTAGCAATTGAGAAAGCACTTTGAGAAAGCAAGGCAAACAGCAACCTCTTCATCAAGTACGCTTAAGCTTGTTTGTGTCTGGGATGGTCTGGGTGTCGTGAGTCCTCGTCATGACACATCACGGCATTCTTCTTGCTGCATCCTTTTGAGACCACTCCACTGTAGCTGTCGATGCCCGTGGGAATTCGGAACTTTCCTCGGTCCGTGCGCTCCGCCGAAGTCCGTGCGCAACGACATTGTTGTCACCACTGCAGCTGAGCATCGGTTCTCTTGATATTTGTCAATATCCTTTTGAGGCGGAAAAACCTCAGCTACGACATTGTCACCACTTTGATCAGTTGGAAGCTGAAGGCTAGTGGCAGTATGGAGATCTTTCTTGCATTCATCACATTTGTCCTGGCTCTCAGAAACTGACCCTGTCATGCTTGGCATAGGCCAACAACCAACACAACATAAGTGCAATGATCAGAGTCTGGCCTCCAACCTAAGAGCGATGGCCTCCAACCTACTAGCCTTCTTGTTACTAGTAGTAAGAATGCTCCTAGTAGCGATGCCAGGAGCCCCTAGTAGCGTGCTTGCTCCTAGTAGTAAGGCCAGGAGCCCCTAGTAGCTTCTTGTTCCTAAGAGCGATGGCGATGGCCTCCAATCTAATGATCAACATGGAGATGTGTGAGTATGTGAGTTGAAGCCCTGCTTTAGTAGCACAATCTGTGCTGGCGGATACAAAACATAATCGTCCTAGGAAATAGGGCCAAATCGGGAATTCTCACCTGCTCCTTTCTGCTAGAACATGAAGATGTTCCTCACAATTTCTGACCTTAAAGAAGAACAGTCAGTATGAGTGACAGCAGGGCTGTTGGACCTAAGTGCTCTTTAGAAACAAAACCGGCAGTCCTTCTCCACGATGTATCTGCAACCGCGGGCACAACAATATGCATTGCCCTTCGGTTCTGTGTTTGGCTTCGATTTCATCCTTCCCCACCTAAGCCAAAGCAAAGTCGTCAGCTGACAGATCTCACTGCGTGTTTCACGGCCGGTTTGCCTTCTTTCGCGTCAAGTTCGGGTGAATCAACCAACAAGCGATGGCCTCCAACCTAAGAGCGATGGCCCTAGTAGCGTCCTTGCTCCTAGTAGCGAATGCCAGGAGCCCCTAGTAGCGTCCTTGTTTCTAGATGGCCTCCAACCCACTCGCCATGACTGAGCGATCTGAAAATTGATTGGCATCAAAAGCGCGGAGGGTACAAGTCCTACAAGTCCTCCAAGGTCATGTAGCTGCAGGAATCCCTCTAATTAAGTCGCATGAAAGACTTGTTCCTTTTTCATAAGGGAGGCCTGATCGCACTCGTTTTGTGCCAGAGCGGCTTATCAGAGCCAGGAATCGGCTCACACGGAGCCTGCGTCAAACGCCGACGTTGTCGACGTCTTCAGTTTCAAAACGAGACTCATCCAAAGCTCCTAGTAACAAGAACGCTACTAGGAGCAAAGGGCATCACTACTAGGAGCAAGAACACAACTAGGGGCTCCTGGCCGTACTACTAGGAGCAAGGACGCTACTAGCAACAAGAAGCTACGAACGGGGCATAAAACTGTCCATCCGACCTGTCTCCACCGGTAACTACGCACCCAGCTCCCTGTTACTAGTAGCTTCTTGTTACTACTAGTAAGGCACTTGTTACTAGAAGCGATGCACTTGTTACTAGAAGCCTCCTCTTTGGACTCGGTCTTTTCGGTCTTTTCGGTCTCATTGCTCTTCTCCACCGAGGCGGGCTCAGCGGGAGCCGTGGGAGGCGCAGGCCCTGCGGCTGGCTCGGCCAACTTCGCGACGGCCTTTCCCTCAGGATCCACTTTCGCCACAGGGGTCACTGGGTCTTCCTGGCAAGGCAGGTCTTGGGTTTCTTGGGTTTAGGCAGGGTTAGGTGTCAGATCCGTAAGGAAGAGGGTCTTGGGTGAAAGAATGCGATTAGAAAGTTACTACAAAGGCTGGCGATAGTTCAAGAAATTCTTATCTTCATTCATCTGAAAACCTGCAATGAAGTCATTCCTTCTTAATGTTCTTCTCTTCTCTTCTTCGTTCCTCTTCATCCTTTACACACCTCTTCACTTCCCTTCCGCGCCATGAAGAGAGCCGCTGCGTCTGGACGGCTATGCCTCAGGATGACTATCGTCTAAGATGCCCGGGATGTCAACGATCTCCTACTCATCAGTATCAACTACATGCTGTCCAGGCAAAGCAGAGGCATGCATGAGCAAGGGAAAACCAAACATGCCTTGATGTTTGCTGTAGTTATACACAATCACTCCACTGACGCTACGAACGGGGCTCCTGGCGCTGCTAGGAGCAGGGACGCTACGAACGGGGCTGGATTTCTGGAGAAAGCAAAGTCACAAAGTCTTCGGCGACCGTGGATCGGTGCCGAGCAACAAATGAGGCCCAAGACCATCGGACGGGCCTCAGCTATGAGTGGTTGAAGAAGTTGCTTACATATGTGGCTTGCTCGTGGTCAGCTATGAGCTCAGCAAATCTGCATATTTGAATTGACACATATTTTGAACGAAGTGAACGAAGGCCTTTGCGAAAAACAACACTTTGTGAGAAACGTTGCCAGAAAATCGAGATCTAATTACTGCATGTGGAGACACATTCTACTGAGTAGCCTTTTGACCTAAAGGCCAGGAGCTACTACTAGCGCCCTTGCTCCTAGTAGAAATGCCCTTTGTTACTAGTAGCTTCTTGTTCCTAGTAGTAAGGCCAGGAGCTACTAGTAGCTTCTAGCTCCTAGTAACGATGCCCCCCTAAGGTCCCGACGTGCAGCCAGCGACCAGCGAATGGAGGCCGTCCTCAGAGACGAGCTTCGACCGGCGGTCTGTTCCTAGTAGCGAACCTTGTTACTACTAGTAAGGCACCTGTTACTACTAGTAAGGCACTTGTTTCTACTAGCTTCTTGTTACTACTAGCGTGTCACTTGTTTCTAGTAGCTTCTTGTTACTACTAGTAAGGCACTTGTTACTAGAAGCGATGCACTTGTTCCTAGTAGCTTCCTACCCCCTTTTGGTTTTGGAAGTCGAAACGACACATCGAAAGCACCGACAGTTCTGCGGTCCGTTACTAGGACGCTACGAACGGAGCATTTCGGGCATCGCGAACCGAACGGAGCGAGAATTGCAGCTGAGATGCAAAAGAAGTTCTACGGTCCACTCTTTTGATCGCATCACGTCCTGGCGACCCGACGCTTTCCTCGCTTTCCTTGTTGCTTTCAGTGATTCAATCTCTCCACATTCGCCACTCCTTTTTGAAAGGGTTTTAGTTGAACCAAAATCAAGATCCATCTACTAGACACAGAGAGAGCATCATCGGTCTCAGGTCGAGGCCTATGAAAAATGAACTTCGCAATCTGCGAGGCATAATCTGCACATCTCTGAGCCGAGACTTCTGAGATCGACGAGATCGAGTGACAAGAAGCTAGGACCCATCTGGCACGTCCTTGCTGTGTGAACAGATTTTTCGACGCCGGCTCGCTGCTACATTTGACTACACGTCGTTTAAGCTCCGAGCAGTGGAGCGAAGCTCCCCTGCTGCAAAGGCCTCAGCGAGCTCCATGCGCTCTTCAGGTAGAGGCAAGCTCTGTTCAGCTTCTCTAGTGGCAAAGACATGTGGCGGTTTGCATGGTCATGAGTTTGCATGGTACCGTCTTTGCGAGACGTTCTGGAGGCTTGTAAGATACACCTAGCCTGCCCACCAGATCGGCTGAGATAACGACGGCTCAACTGGTGAGATTGGTGCTCGATGCTTTATTTAGATTCCTATTTGCCAATATGCTGCTAATACACGTCAACATCGTTCAACAGTCTTGGAACTCCGGAACAGAACCGAGTGCTTCTCAAAGGGGGAGGAATGAAATAGATAGCAAAAAGGCGATGCCTGGAATCCAACATCCCACACCGGCCTTGGCAAAAGCCCACGTGAAGGTCCCTTGCACAGTCCTGCCAAGGACCGGCGATTGACGATTCTTCGCAAATTCCACGCGTCACCGTCGGACCCGGTCGGAGCAGCTTTCCAATTCCGAAGCAACGAACGAGAACAAAGGGCATCGCTACGAACGGAGCAAGGACGCTACTATAGGGGCTCCTGGCCTTACTACTAGCAACAAGAAGCTACTAGTAACAAGTGCATCGCTTCTAGTAACAAGTGCCTTACTAGTAGGAACAAGAAGCTACTAGTAACAAGAAGCAAGGAAGCTACTACATAAGTGGAGGCCATCGCTCTCAGGTTGGAGGCCATCGCTATAACCCAGATTCCGCGTTCTCTCGGCCAAGTCCGTCACGGCCCCGTTTCGCCCCTCGGTCGGATTCGATCGGTCCCTTCCAACGGCAGCTCCGAAGGCCATTCTTGGAGCCTGGCCGATAGACTTGGGACTCGGGTAGAGGAACAGGAATGAAAAAGGAACAGGAGAGCTAAGAGATTGAGACTCACGAGGTTGTGTCTTTCCATTTCGTTCTTTCTTCCGTTCCTGTCTTTGCATCTTCACCGGAACTCCTGGGTCTTGAAACCCCCACCTTCCGGCACAGAAGCAATGTAACTGACAGGTTGGGTAGGTCTGGGGCTTCCAGATCTGCGGCAGCCTGAAGCTGCGCCCAGTGCAAAGTCCAGTCTGCATCTGAGCGTCTTGATTTTTTCTGGCGTATGGATGAAGAACAGATTCGGGATACAGGTCTTTGGCGTGCCAAAGGCTTCTTTCTGGTTGATCTGGGTGCCCAAACGTGTGCTGCACAGGCAGTGGAGGAAGCTCCAAGAACCTGCAGGATACAAACCAGAGACAGGTGGGAATTCGCTACAGTAAGTAGTCGTTTGCCGCGAACGATAACCAAAGGCTCTCAGCGACCCCTTGTCAACCTGGCGCTTACTGAACATACGTCAAAGTCAATATAAACTGATCAACACAATATGACTTGTGCATCTCGTGCAAATATGTTATCCGGTCTGTGAATGTTTGTCCCACATTGTCCTGCGTGTTTTTGCCCGCCTTGGCCGTGTGACAAAGTCGAACATCTTGTCATAATCAACGCCTCATGTTCGACCCAAGACCCCCCCCAAAATGACTAGCAAGAAGCTACTATAGGGGCTCCTGGCATCGCTACTAGGAGCAAGAACGCTACTAGGGGTCCTGGCCTTACTACTAGGAGCAAGAAGCTACCAGTAACAAGTGCATGGCTGCCCAAACCGGCAGAACCCTGATCCGCTGAATCCGAGGAAGTGGCGTCCACGTGGGACCTTGGGGAAGGTGGGCGGGATGTTGCAGCTTGGACTCACACCTCGGTATCACACGTCCGAAGCGTCCTTGCTCCTAGTAGCTTCTTGTTACTACTAGTAAGGCCCTTGCTCCTAGTAGCGATGCACTTGTTCCTAGTAGCTTCCTCGCTTTAGTAGTACGGCCAGGAGCCCTGGAAGAAGCTTCCTTGTTCCGTTCGTAGCGATGTCTGAAGCATGTGATTCTTTTGCGTTCGCTCCACACCCGGGCGAACATGTTGGTTATCCATATCCGCAAGCCGTCACCTGTCTTTGGATGTGCAGGCGCACATACAGGTGCGAAACCCCAAAAATGGCATCGATTCCGATCCTCATGACATATCCCATCGCTATTAGGTTGGAGGCCATCGCTATTGCAGTAGGTGTCTTTGTTTCCTTCTTTATTATCTGTATTTTCCTTTGTTCTTTTCTCCTTGTTTTTGGGGCACAGCTGAGGCACCCGGCCAGGTAGAGCTGGATATGAGCAGTCCAAGATGGTCGTCAAAGCTGCGAGAAAATGGGAAGCACTTTGCCCAGGGTCCGCCAACCTAATAGGGGCTCCTGGCCTTACTACTAGGAGCAAGGACGCTACTAGCAGCAAATGGCATCGCTACCAGGAGCAAGGACGCTACTAGGGGCTCCTGGCCTTACTACTAAGAACAAGAAGCTAATGATTTAGACCCTTCTTCCTTTCCTTTTTTCCTTGTTTCTAATAGCAATGGCCTCTAACCTACTAGCCTTCTCCAGAAAGTCATAAATAGCACAGGAACGGAGCACTAGGTTTCAAAGCCAAACACTTGATGTGGCCAATTTGACAAACAGGAGCGGCTGGAAATTTGAATTCACAAGTATGAAGGTGACATGTGCCTCTAACTAGTACAGGTCAGGAAATTGTTGGTTCCAAGTGTCACAAAGATTGAACTGTGCATGTCCTGCAAAAGTCTGAGTTAAAGTTCAAATCGCAAAGCGACTCCACACCAATTTCTCGCCTGCACCCGCCGGGATCTGCATAATAAAGCGGTTCAACCTGAAACGTCCCATTCGCCCCGCTGCATCTTCGCGGTGCTTCGCGGTGCTGCTTCGTTCGGTGCTTCCCTTCGCTGTTGGGCACTGGGGTCACCGGCTCCAGCATCGAGATCAAGCGATAGGCCGCACCAGGTGGAGCTTTCGGCACCTCGGTCGCAAAGCAACTGATACCAAACAGGTTTAGTGCCCAAAGAGTCTGAGTTTGATTCCGCCAAGTGAAGTGTCCCTAAAAATCTCGCAACCCAATCATGAGCACAAGCTCTCCTGCGTCCAGTAGGTACGACCTAGCATAAGTCAGCTACTATAGCGACCTCGCCCCTCCGGTGTTTCAACGACTCGACAGAGCGGAGTTTCGAGGCCCCAAACGCTCTTTGGCACGCCGGGTGGCCTCGGAGACAGGAGAAAAGGACCTAGGAACAATGTTCGCTACTAGGAACAAGTGCATCGCTACTAGTAACAAGTGCCTTACTAGTAGTAACTCTTTGATAAAATCACCTGGCACATATTGTGATGTTCGTCCTGATTGTACGAAGGAAAGAGACTACCAAGCCCGATTCAACATCCATCAGGTCTGTATATCCAAGTCTATTCAAACGACAGCAAACAAGAATCCTCATTGAAGTCTGTAGACTCTGACCTTCGTGCTTAAGTGCCATGCAGATTGTCTTGGTTGAATTTAAGCATGAAATAACATGGTGTCATGCTTTGGACACCTCAATGCAGCTGAAAGACACTGGCGCATTGGCCTCTCCCAAGGTGAATGTTGGATTGCGCATCAAAGTTGATAGGTCCGGGCAACGTGGCTGTGATCCATATTGGGGTGGAATGGTAAAGCTGACTGACTGATGTGTTCATCAAGAAGCGCATTTGCAACATGTTTCAAAAGACAAGGTAGAAAACGCAACTTTCCGCCCGCAAAACCTTCCCTTTTCATATATAAGATTCCTGGAACGAAGACTAACGCGAGAGCAAACTGCCAAGAATGAGCTCGCTCTATGCTGGCGACAAGCTGTTCGCCTGCGTCAACCAATCCTTCGGAAGGTCCGCTGCATAGTCCGAAGGCACCAGGAAAGCCTCGCTACTAGCGATGGCCTCCAACCTACTAGCGGCTACGACAAGTCTACGGTAGGACGAGTCTCGGATCGGTGGATGTGAGTGGTGAGAATTCGATACAAAGTGCACAAGTGCCTTACTAGTAGTAACAAGAAGCTATTAGAAACAATAAGCTAGTGGTGAGAATTCGATACAAAAAGATTCTGTCCAACAGGTCATATTCGCTGGCGTGGGATGCTCGTCTGTGAATGCCAGTTGTTTGGGTTTCATGACATGTTCAAATTCAAATGAACTGTAATTGCAGACCGTGTCTCTACAACTGTCATGCTAAAAGTTCTCCTGCCCGACCCAAGCGGAATCGCCTCATAATCTTTGCCTTCGTGGTCCTGAGAAACGTCCAATCAGAGCACGAAGGTGTGGCAAAGTACAATGGTCACGTCTATAGTGCTCACTCAAGAGTTTGTGAAGACTTGCAAATCGACATCTGGTTGAGTCATTGAGGGCCCTATTTCATGTTTTGTGGGCATCGCTTTATGGGCATCGCTACTAGGAGCAAGGATGCTACTAGGGGCTCCTGGCATCGCTACTAGGAACAAGGTTCGCTACTAGGAGCAAAGGGCATCGCTACTAGGAGCAAGGGCCTTACTAGTAGTAACAAGGTTCGCTACTAGTAACCGCCTCACAAGTACCGCTTCGCACTGCTGCCTTCGGATGTTGGGTGCCAAAGCCACAGAACACCAGCACCAGACCTGTCAAACAGCACCAAACCTCCTCACTCCTCCCATCTCAACCCCTTTTTCCAGCTGTAGCTATCCAAAAAAGGCGCGTGTCGTCGAACCCATCCAAATCATGCAAATCATCGAATCATACGAATCTGTGACGAATCTGTGGATCCTCGAAAATTCTTCCGATCTCTTAAGAGGCTGTGTGGAGCAGCTATGACTTCCGACTATCTCCAGGCTGAGCTCCTTCCATGAGCCTCGGTCATTGTCAAGCCCCAAAGAAACTTTATTTGGAAGTCTCGGATGCCAAATGAAAGGTCATGAAAGTTCAAGAAAGGATGAGAAATGCACGCAGCACAAAAGGAGTCAAAAAAGCGAACACATGAAACCAACTCAACGATCGATCAATCAAGTCATTCATGGCTCCTTTCATCAAGTCCTCAGCTTGGGTGGATGGCTTTCGTCTCCGTTTGCAACTTGTTTTTCCTCCGTTTGCCACTGTATGACTGTTGCCGCGGCTGGGCCACTTCGCTTTGAACAGCCTCGAATTAGGCAAAGAGGTATGTCATTCGAAAGATGAAGTAGTTCTCCGCCCTGTCAGTCCGAAAATAGCTGAAGTATCTGGTCCGAGCTGCCAGGAATGGACCATCTCTTTCCTCCTCTTTGAAAAGCAAATGGTGCTTTTTGAGTGCTCTTGGGTGCTTTGGCTTAAGTTGATAGTCAAACTTCGTCGACCAGTGCTCAAACCGAGCCACCATAGACGCATCAACAAGATCAACACATTCATCAATAAGTATGATTCAGTATGATTGATCGTTCAACAAAAATGAATATGTTTACTATAATTGTTTAAATATAATGTAAATAAACAGCTGTTCCGAATTCACATCGATACACAGGTTGCCCGACGGAAGTCGGAGCAAGTTGGTTTACTTCATCCTCCCGGCGTCTTGAGACGTTGAGCTTTCCAAAGGACAAGAGACGTCTTATCTCAGCGTCTCAAGAAAAGCTCAGTGATGGCCGATAGACCTGGCAGAGAGGACATGCAAAGTGGCAATCTGCAAAAAGTGACAAAGTGTTCAACAAGCAAACAAGGACGCTACTAGTAGCCCCTGGCCTTACTACTAGGAACATGAAAATACTAGGAACAAAGGGCATCGCTACTAGGAGCAAGGACGTTACCAAGGTGATTCGAGACTGAAAAGTCATCCTCACCGACTAGTGACGGCTAGTGGATGATCAGCATCAACATTGCCGCTAAAAAACCGTTTGGGTGGGGATGTAAGGTGATGATTCTCCCACATTGGTCGCGTGTCACAAGTCCGTCATGGCCTGCATTGTACTTCTCAGGTCTCCATGTCGTATCAGCGAGTTGGCCCATGCCCGGAACCAATGTAATCATCGGGTCCTGGCTGCCTGCGATGAAAGAAACACCCTTTGCGTCTTCAGTACAACTTAGGCTTTTAGTCTTAGAGCCATTATAGGTTGGAGGCCATCCCTTTGAGGCTGTTTGTCTTAGAGCTACCCCTACCCACCCGTGAATCTAGGCACCATTTTGGGCAGCGACCCAAAAGAACCACCGCTTGTGCTTGCTGTGCATGCTCTGCTTACTGAGTCTAAGCTTGCCTGAGGCGTTCTAATTCTGCAAACCAGAAAGCCTCCGGCCTAAAGCGGCATCTTCGCTCTCTTGCGCCTGGTTCACAAGAACAGCAACGCAAGGCTCTTCGGGCAGGTTCGGGTCAGTGAGTTTGAAAATAGAGTAGACTGAGCCCCGTTCGTAGCATTCTTGCTCCTAGTAGCGATGCCAGGAGCCCCTAGTAGCTTCTTGTTACTAGTAGCTACTTGCTCCTAGCTGTACGGCCAGGAGCCCCTAGTAACGTTCTTGCTCCTGCGAAGAAAAGGTCTGTTTACTGAGCAGGTCTTGGCTTCGCAAACCGTCCCGGCTTCGCCTGGAACTTCTGGGCAAGCTCTTCATCCGACAGACCTTCATCAGGACTTGGGAGGCCTCGAGGTGAACAGACAAAGAACGGAAAAGTTGAAATAGACGACTTGATTGTGTTAGTCTCCTTGATTCTTCCTTCTCTTCAGACCTTAAGCTTTAGCTCCTCTGTATATCTCTTTCCTGCTTTGAACAAAGTCAAAGCACGCTGGAGGTCCTGAGGATCAAAGCCTGAAACGAACAATCGATCTGCAGGAATCAGTGAGGGTTTATCCTCTGTGAAGAAGAAGAAGAAGAAGAAGTGATCAAATTTCAACAAACTAGTCTATTTTTGTGGGCCTATGCAGAGACCATCCACAAAGCAATCCGACAGAGTCTTAAATCCTCATCCTGGCTCATCCGAAATGATGTGCTGCAGTTTTCTCATTGGCCAAATCCAAATCAAAAGCCCCTGCTCCCAATGCCGCCGGTTGGCCTAACTGTTCGCAGAGAAGGTTGTGTCGATGCGTCCGCAGAAAGCGCCGGATCCCTTCCTGTCCGTTTGTGTCCCAAAGAGACACCAAAGAAAGAAAGGAAAGAAAAGAGCACGGAAAAGAGAACGGGTGAGAATGGTTGTGGAGGAAGAAGGAATCAAAAGGGAAAGCTAAAGGATATGGATCTTGTTTTTAGGTTGGAGGCCATCGCTTTTACAACGAAAAGAAGAAAGCAAAGATCCCAACGGCGCCGAACCTGTCCCAGATTCCCGGCACCGAAGCCCTCGCCATGAACGGTGTGGATCTGCGGGTCGGTGTAAAACGTTCCAACGCCCTGGATGTCACACACCACCAAGAGTTTTCCTCAAGCGAGCCAAAACGAAGAAAAAGACAAAAAAATATACCTAAGAAGAAAATACCTATATTTAGAAAAAGCTAACAGCGATGGCCTCCAACCTAAAAGCAAGATCCATATCCGGAAGTAGAAAGAAGAAAAAGAGGAAGTGAAAATGCAGAACATCCATAGCGTTTTAACTCCAGAAAATTCGGGAGGAAGACAAGGCTTGCCATTCAATAAAAATTTTCCGGATAGGATGTAGGTGAAGTAAGAGAAGGCCGCCGCAGTTTCGTCCTCTGTCTCTCTTCTCCCTGCATTGTCGCTGTGTTTCACATAATCTCCAGTGAGGAAGGGTTCCAAGCAGAGTGGCTCCTCATAACCTCGAGCAAATCAAGGAGCCTTGTGTCCACCTCCCCTCCATCAAACATTCCAAGAAAATGATTGAGGGGTTCTGGTTCAACTGGCCCTTGCAAAGCTAGGGCTGTCTTGGAGTAATAGACCAGGCCTAGTTGATGTCATAGCAAAAGTGGGATATTCACACTAAGATACTATCAGGCAAGCCACCGTGAATTTTCACAACTGAGACTGGAAGAAATGCCAATCTGTGTGGAAGACCAGCCTGTCGGTGGAAAGCAGTGAAGGACAAGGACCCAAGAGCGTCTTGCTGCTACACAATGCTACGCGGATGGACACAATCTTTGCAAAAGAGCGCCAAAATGTCATCTCTGCCCGACATCACCTGCTTTGCCTTCAATCAAAGTCATACTCAAGGCCTATCAGGAAAAGGAAAGTTCTAGCAACATGCTGATGGTGTTACTGCAGGCTGCACCGCAGGCGCCTGGTGACAGGCCTTATTGAATTCTTGTGCATAGCTGTCGGCCACCATCTGCGTCATCGCCTCGTGGTAGTTCACCTCTGGCTTTAGACCACTCGTTGGTTTGATCCTCTTTACCACCTCGGTCCAAAAAGTCTGGGATTCTCAACCAGAATCGCTGAAACAAGTTTGAATCATCGCTCGCTTTGGACGAAAAATCGCTTTGAAATATTTTAAGAAATTTAAGGGGAGGTGTTCTCAAATGAGAAAGGTTCTCTGTGGATTCACAACTTGAGACAGGGCACGGCATCAACTTCAGAGCCATCCTCTAAGATTTCGCGAGCACGGTAGACAAGTCCTCAGCAGATTCCATTTATTGCATTCCGAATGCCGCTGTTTGCGAAAGCTTGTGGTTAACACTTGGATCGTCCTTTCAACGTTCACTCATGGCTTGGTTTAATGAGTGCGAGCCTTTCGCTGAAGACGCATCAGCTTGGGTCAAACGGTCAAACCATCAGAATACAAACCAAATCAATGAAGACTCGTCTTCAGAAGCCTCTTGTGACGCTAACATATATACTAGGGTGGAGGCCATCCCTACTAGGGTGGAGATCATCGCTACTATACTGTATATTGGAACTCGTCTTGGCTTGGATCCCATAGGAGAATCGCAGTCGAGCATCGCATTCCGCCCTCGCCAAATGGTTCTCGGTTCAGTCTCAATGTCGATCGATGCTCTTCCCAATTGTTTGAATGGCAGTCGAAAGTGTACCTGAGAAGAAACCACGGCACTTTTTTTTTCCAGCAAGGTCAGGCTGTCATGATGATGCCCCGTCAATGTGACATCGTTTGTTGAAGCCTAGACCTCTGCATTAAAACAAAACTACTAGTAACGAAGGGCATCCCTACTAGGAGCAAGGATGCTACTGTTAGCTCTTGGCCTTACTACTAGTAACAAGAAGCTACTAGTAGCAAGGACGCTCTTAGGTGGGGGCCATCGCTACTAGGAACGTGCTTCTACAAGCCTATCCAAAACAGATCAAACGAGCACAAGTCTTCGTGTCCCAGGTGCTTGGTGCAGGGATGCTCATCCACTGGAAAAGCCTTCTCCATGGGATCCACGTCCCAAAAAGACGTCGTTAACTTTGGGCCCAAAGCTGCAGAGTATCAAGTATCACCAACGAGACCCATTTACGTTTCCGATCTTGAAACCAAGGCCAGCCTCTAGTAGCGTCCTCCTGTTCCTAGTAGTAAGGCCAGGAGCGCCACTAGTAGCGTCCTTGCTCCTAGTAGCGATGCCCTTTGCTACTAGTAGCGTCCTTGCTCCTAGTAGTAAGGCCAGGAGCCCGGACCATTGAAAGTTCATGAGAATGTTGGCTTTCGAGGGCACCTGCGCATGAAACGAGAGGCTGAGGGGCTGGAGTTTGGCACCGATCGCATCTCCAACCCAGTAGCGATGGCCTCCAACCTAGTAGCTACTTGCTCCTAGTAGTACGGCCAGGAGCCTCTAGTAGTGTTCTTGCTCCTAGTAGCGATGCCCTTTGCTCCTACTAGCGATGTTGCAAATAGTTTGGAGAATTGTGAACGGAGGCTGAGTCTATGTGACCGCAGGATTTGTTCGCTTTCCCCGACCTAGATTGGCAGACTAGCGACTGGATTCACCCTTCGAAGCGACACGAAACTATTATATAGACCACACACATACACATGTGATGGAGGCTGTCTTCAGGGATGACATGGCTACATGGCTATAGGCCAACAAACCCAACAACCTCCACAGTCCCAGTGACGCCCGACCGGGTGACACCTGTGTCGGCGATGCTTTGGCACCGTTCTCCCCATCCACCAACAGTCGGACTTGGGCATCATCCAGGGCCAAGGCATGCCTCGCCGGCCCAACGGCTAGCGCAAGTAGCTACGAACGGAGCAAGAACGCTACTTGGGGCTCCTGGCCGTACTACTAGTGGCAAGTAGCACCAGGTTGTAGGCCATCGCTAGTAGCAACAAAGAAAAAAGGAAAAGGAAGTTGACCAACGGTTTTCCAATGGCACCACCGCTTGCCCAATGGCTAGTTGCCCTGGTCCTTTGCATGCTTGATGCTACTCCGAGGTCGCGAAAGTAGAGCAAAACCAGCTAGTTAAGGTCATCCTGTTGGGATGTCACTTGGGATTTACCAGTTTGCTGAAAGCAGGTATGCTGCTCCTCCTAGCAACTGTCTTGCCTCAAGTAGTAGCAGCTGGATTCCCGGGTAGTTTGCGAGACAAACATGTGAAAATGGTTGCTTCAACGTGCACGAACAATCCTGTAATTGTGCAAAAACATAACCAGAAAAGTTACCAGCGACAGCTGTCGGAGCGCCTCAGCAGGGTATACATGTTCCAAGCATCATTCACAGCCCCTTTCAGCTGCGCATGAGAACCTCCACCGCTCAAGGCATGGGCTTTGCATTGTCCCCAACAACGGTGTTCCAATAGCAGGCAGTTCTATGACAAAAAGAGACACATGGAATTCTGCAATTCAATTCATCCCATCCTTGAGAGAGCAAGGTCTACCTATATAGTATTAGGACATATTTGAACGCTATTAGGTGGAGGCCATTGTAAGTAGGTTGGAGGCCATCGCTATTAGGGTGGAGGCCATCGCTAGTAGCAACAAAGAGAAAAGAAAAGGAAGTTGCCCAACGGTTGGCACTACTCCCCTTGCAGCCTTGCAAAGCCCTGCTTATTTCGGCCATTCTCCAGCCTGTGTAGTTGCTTCCAATGATGAGCGCCTCCAGCGACTTCCATGCTTTCTCACATGCGCATGTCGAGAGCAAAAAGGGTTTTCTCTTTAGACTCTTTGGACCTGTTGTATCCTGTTGTCGAATTAGGAACAAGGTTCGCTACTAGTAACAAAGGGCATTACTACTAGTAGCATTCTTGCTATTGGTAACAAGAAGCTACGAACGGAGCATTTCGGGCATTGCTACGAACGGAGCAAGGACGCTACGACCGGTGCTCCTGGCCTGAACAAGAGGACACTACGAGCCACCGGCCGGCCGTCTCTCAGACCTTCGCCCCGGCCTTCCGCCGAAAGTCGCCCTGCGGCAGTGGCTTCTGCAGAACGCTTGGCCTCGGCTTTGCAGCTTAGGCCAGGCTTGCCTGCGTAGCCTGCGTAGCCTTGAACGGTCGCTGCTTGGGGTGGCCAACAATGAGAAACGGTTTATATCATGGTGTGTTTTCAACAAGGACCTGGATAAGAAGCACTGCATGCTTCCTTGGATTTCCTGGATAAGAAGCACTGCTTGGGTCACCACACCGAACCGTACGAATGCCCCCCGCTGACAATGCTCATTTCAACAGCTTAGCTTCCGACAAAGCCGGGACTTCAATCCGCCCCAGCTCCTGGGAGTCAAACAGAACAAGACAGTGCCACATCCTAAAACTCACAAAGCTTGGCAGACTTGCAAGGGACAGGATTTAGTGGAATCTAGGAAACCCTGTTGTTTTTGCTTGCCTTTCAATTTGTTTCGTCTCGTCAGGAAATCCAACTTTAACTTTCACTCTGTCAGAAAGAATCATTCTGAAGTGTGCAGGTTTCTGCAATTCAACGTGGCAAATCCCAGCGAGCTTTTTCATCACCAAAAGAGGTCATCGAAATCCAAATCCTCTTCGGCCTGACCATTGCTTCACAGCTGGAAAACTTTCGATGCGCGAAACATACACTGAGATCTGATGGGAAAGTCAACGTGCACCCTAATAGCGATGGCCTCCAACCTGGTACAAGTAGCGATGTCTTGACGAGTCTTGACGTGTTGCATCTTTCCATCCAGACTTGACTTATCCCGTGCCTCACAGTCTTCATGAAACGAACGGGCCACGCGGGCCTGCGGGAAGCTCCGATCGGCTTCGGTCAAGGCCGAAAGAATACTTTCGTGGTTCTTACATCCACTCCAGCTTGGGCCTGGTTCGCTACTAGGAGCAAAGGGCATCGCTACTAGGGGCTCTGGGCCTTACTACTCGGAACAAGAAGCTACTAGTAACAACAGGCATCCCTACTAGGAGCAAGGAGGTAGGTGTTGGCCCTTTGCCTCCCCCACTAACGCCCTGCGCCTCAGCCCGAGCTTGAATCAACTCGGGACGACTTTGCCAGAGCTCCTGTTGATGCCTTCGTCCGTTTCGCCAGGCATCATCCGTAAAGGAGGTGTTTGAGCTTTGGCAAATCTGAAGAAATAGTCATAAACACACACATCCAGATTTCGGCAGGCTCTCCACGCCCTGAAAAAAGTAAAACACTCCGTGTCACCGCCACCATTGAACATCATTGAAGCCTGCCACGAAAAATATGTTTGATACCTTTGGTGTGTCAGTCGATCTCACGCAGTGGAGCCTGTAGGAGAGATCTTCTTCGACAGTGCCCAAGGTCACAAAGCGCCAAAGGCAGACACGCCTGAAGTGAGTACCAGTCCTTTTCGCATTCATGATACAGTAAACGAAAAACACATGTACCAAAAAAAGACCTTTTCGTTTTAAGTTGACATGTAACCAAACCGACTCGCTTTTGTGTCCTTGGCGTCTGCTAGACCTCTGCTGCATCTTCTGTGGCCCAGCATCACAAAATCCCCACCTGCGTTGCCCCAGGCGCAAGCAGCGACCCAGCGCTTGTAGTTCCTGTGGCCATCCAAAGTGGGGGACCCTTGCAACCAGTCATGTCCGACACCAAAAGCATAGAAATACCATGGCAGACACGTGCATTTGAAAAGGTTTGCAAAAATCAACAAAATTGAAAAAAATATCAACATAGTTCAACCCCATGCCGGCTTTGAAGCCAAGCAACATAGGCTACGCTCAGGCGATGTGTACTTGCCAGCATTGGATGCACCAACAGCACGTGGTTCCTTGAGGACACTGAAAGGCCGCTGACCAGCATCAACATCAACCCACCGGTTTCGTGTAATCGGGCAACTGTCGCACCGGTTTCGATCTCCCTGTCCGATCGAACCGAACCAACCACCGGCCCAGCGGCGCCCGGGTCAAGTTCGTCCCGGAGGCCGCATCTTGCAGCGAGAGCAGCAGAACTTTGGGCCCCTCGCAGCCTCAGCGCAGGCGAAGAAAACAGGCCTCAAAACCGAACCTGGCTCCGTTCGTAGCTTTTTGTTCCTGGTAAGGCCAGGAGCGCCCCGTTCGTAGCGTCCGTGCTCCTAGAAACGATGCCCTTTGCTCCTAGTAGCTTCTTGTTCCAACTACTTACTTGTGTTCTTTCAAGATCGAACTTGTGTTTGTCAAGAAAACTGACTCCTGATGCCAGGCCGCTGTCGGGTGGTGCATTTTGAAAGCTTGTGAGCACATCGTCGCGCTGCCAGAAGCTATTCAGCACCATGCTTTCACTGCTGGTGTCATAGCGCTCCTCTGAAAACACACACAGTTAGACTGCCAAACAGGATGATTTCTTCTTGCATAAGGTGTTCTTTTCGACAAACAAAGAGTAACTGAGTAACAGAATTAGGGAGCGAACTTGCAACCCGGGAGCCTGATGGAGGCGTTTCCTAAGCAATCTGCCTCGAACAAGAACGTTCTAGCATGGCCTAGGTACATTCTAGCATGGGCCATTTGGGCCATGGGTGGCAAAGTTTCTGAAACTTGCAGCTTCGAAACTCATTGCAACGAGAGCAGTCCTCCAAGCAAACGTAGGGCACCTGCATCGTACTCTGCTTTGAAAAAAAACGTCAGCAGGGCACACAACGTCATCTTCGTGACTCACTGATTGTGGTCTCCGTCCAGGACTTTGCTTTGGCAAACCCAACGTCAAAGTAGTGAACTATCAGGATGTAGTCTACTAGGCAATTCCCATCAATTCCCCACCAAGTAGCCCCAACTTTTTGATGCACTGGCTGCCCAAAACATCCTGAAACCCTCAAGTGTCAGATGAGTCAGTCCAGTCATCCGACCTTTGCCTACTCATCTTGCTTCACTTGACGTCACCTGCCCGCCTTGAACTCCGTCAATGCCTCGGCCACCTTCCGCCGCAAAGTCTTCCATTGCACAAAGACGATGGCACGTGCCGTTGGGTCCTCAAGGATTTCATCGCACAGAAGTGATCTGTTCACATTGTCACGCACTTAATTAGGTTGGAGGCCATCGCTCTTATTTCCAACTTCTGTTGTCCATTCTTCGTGCGGAGGATCTCGCCTCCTCGTCGATGGCACGGAGCTTCCGTACCACATGGAAGATCTTCGAGCCGAAGCGGCCCCAGCGCTGCCGCTCCACACGCTCCTGCAGCGAGCTGGCGAGACGTCCGTGCCAATTCGGCAGAAGCAAGATGTCGGTGCCAAATTCGATTGTTACGCCTTGTTAGGGGCTCCTGGCCTTACTACTAGGAGCAAGAACGCTACTAGGAGCAAAGGGCATCGCTACTAGGAGCCATGTTCACTACTAGGGGCTCCTGGCCATACTACTACTAAGAATTCAAATACATCCTGAGTGCCATCATTGGTACCCCTTCCCATTCCAAAAAAAATACCGTTGGATGCCGGCGATCGTTGTCGACCCTTTTGGAGCGGATCTCATCTTCCGTCTCCTCACGAACCGCCCCAGGCTCACGCACTCGCAGAATCTCATCATCTCTCCGAAGAGATTGACGACAAAGCGCGCATTCGCCTACACTCCTGGCACGAAATCAGCGAGATCCACTCAGCTTGTGACAATCAGCGAGGAAGAAGCGCAATACATCAACTTGGACTTTTCACCACGTGTGTTTCTTGTGCGAAAATACGGGCACTTTGGAAAGTTTGATTGCACACGCTAGCTACCCCGACACGGCCAGTTGTAACATCATGTGACATCAACTGTCAAACCATCGCTCTTAGGTTGGAGGCCATCGCTACCAGGGTGGAGGCCATCGCAATTAGAAACAATGAAAAACGAAAAGGAAAAACGGTCTAATATAGTTTGATGAGTAGGGCTGTGCAAGACAGAGCCGGACAGAGCCTTTTCCGGAAGCGCAGGATTGAGACTTTGGATCTTGAATCAATAAAGCGATCGCATCCTCAAATCCTCCAAGGATGCGAAAAAATCTTATCCTACAAAACTTCAAACGAAGACTGCAAGATTGCAACGCTGCATGTCACATTCAGATTGAGAGCGGGGATGCAGCTAGAAACAGCTCTCTTTCTCTCTAAAACAAGCTCCCAGCTTCAAATGCCTGGGAAAAGGTTGGAGGCCATCGCTAGTAGGTGTTCCGATTTGTGAAACTCAGTTTAATGGACCGCCACTCACTCAGAGTCTTTGATGGGCTCGAACCTCAAATGTGGAAGATACTTTCATCAGGCACCGAGGCCATCGCTCTGAAGCACAAAGCATGCTTTGCAATGGGGTGTTTTTGGCATGGGCACAGAAAGTTCCACCCTGTTACATCCGCCCTTTTCAACAGTTATTCATGCTTGTAATCATCACTTAAAGCACATATGTCACTCATCGCCCAAGTCACTTGAGGCTGTAGTCCGCGATGCTCACCGCACGATTTCCAGCTTTGAAGAACAATTGGTCGTTGGGATTCCTCAAATCAGTGACACGACAGACTGCAAGAGGCTGCACTGCAAGAGGCTGTGCAAGGACTTTGCTCCGTTCGTAGCGATGCCAGGAGCCCCTAATAGCTTCTTGTTTCCAGTAGCGATGGCCTCCAACCTACTACCAAGGCACAAAAAGCCCAGCAGCCGTAGGCGTCCTTTGATCTCTGCATCCGTCTTCCGCAGCGCAGTTACCTGAACTGTCCGATGCGACGGTACCTGAATGACCCCTATCGTCTAAAAGCAAAGGAGATGACCCCGATCTTTCTTCCTGTTCTTTGTAGCGATGGCCTCCCTAATAGCTACTAATAGCGTCCTTGCTCCGTTCGTAGCGATGCCAGGAGCCCCTAGTAGCGTCCCTTGCTCCTAAAGAGAACGGAAGAAAGGTCATTGGAAACATGGATAACCAAGCTCGAAGGGGTACCTTCACCAACATTGAACTAGCTCAGACAAAATGGACTGCGCTCTCAACTTTTGAGGAATAGACTCCAAAGCATTGTAGCATGTCGAACCATGTAGCTGATGGTATTTAGCAGCATTATTTAAGTATACATTCTGGGGCAAATTGCATCATCCAAATGCCACAAGACCTGTCACCTGAATCACACTGACAAGCCACCACTTCTTCATCCACGGTGAGTGGATTGTAGCCAGCACCAGGTGCGGCAAACAAAGTACGTGTGCTGGCGAGACCTCCAGAACAGCTCCACAGCCCTCTGCCAAGTCATCTGAACAAGTCTGTCAACCTAGCCCTTCCTGCAAGTCTACCAGACAAACCTGTAGAGTAAGCGTTTCAGCGTCTGGGGGTCTTGAAATCGGCAAGGCCCGGTTCATTCCGCTTGGACCTCTCCAAACATCGCCGTCAGAGCCATCTTCAAACTGAAGGGCTGTGATGAAGATCTTCCTGAGAATTGATAGCTACTACTAGCGTCCTTTGCCACTTCCGAAAGTGGTCGAAAGTGTGGGATTCCCGAACCCCGACCGAAAGGTGGACATGACATGTCAACGAAGAAACCAGGAATGGGTGATGAATGATCAACAAGGAGACTCAACATGGGCTTTGTGACTGCAGGAACCACAACATCCTCCGCGATCACGGCTCACCACGGCAAGTGCATCGCTACTAGTAGTCATGCCCCTGTTACTAGTAGCGATGCCCTTTGCCCCTAGTAGCGCTCTTGCTCCTAGTAGCGATGCTCTTGCTACTAGTTAGTAGAGAACATGATTAGCAACACTGTTGGTTACCCTTTGTAGATACCTACCGAACACAAGCAACTGTCCCAGTGGACTGGGTGATGGCTCCATTGACATCGCCATGGTTGCAAGTATTAACAAAATGGTCTTTGCGTCTTCTTCTCAAAAATCCCTGAAGTCCTCATGACACACCGGGCCACACCGCGGCACGGCATTCTCTGGGCAAACCGAGCGTCTGGACAGCACCTTTGAAGTTCACGATGACTGTGCGCAATGGATCCTGCGGACCATTGCCGCCCTGCATGGTGCTTTCACCTGCGAAACGATGCCAGAAACTGTGGAGAAACCCGAATTAAACAAACCTATTTAATAGGAGTAGAGCCGTCCGATTTGCCATGCATAAGACATCCACTTCCTCAACAGTCCCTTTCGACCCATGACGTACCAAACCAGTGAATCCCTAACACTCGTAGCAACCTCGAAAAAGGGCTACGAACGGAGCAAAGGGCATCGCTACGAACGGAGCAGAGGACGCTTAAAAGGATCCATCGAATTTTTGTGGCGCACGTGTGTTGTCGGGCACGTCCACATACTCCACGCTCTTCACCACTTCTCGCCCTGCAAAGGCATTGAGCTTCGCCTCAGCCCCAGCATCGTGGCACTACGAGTAACTTGCGTCTCTGAGGTTGAGCTCTCGGCACATGCCGTGGTCAACGCTACTAGGGTGAAGGCCATCGCTCTTAGGTTGGAGGCCATTGCTACTAGGGTGGAGGCCATTGCTATCAATCTTGTTTTAATACATGTAAACAAATGCTGCTGTAGGTAGTTATAGGTCCAAGCGTCTCTCGTGTTGAAGGCGCGGTCTTCTACGATGTTGTTCCTGGGCACGGAATCCGGAGGTTTCACACTGAAACATGCATCACAACCAGAAGCGTTCAATCTCCTCACATCCCTAACAGGCAGATTCAAGAACCGTGGCTAGTGCCTCTAAAGGCTTTCAGGTGCTTTTGGGCAAGAAACCCAATGTTGGACTTTTCCTCCAAGCTCTGGGTATGGCAACATGATTGCTTCATTGTTAAAACATCGCGTGCATGGGTGCTAGCATCCACCTTGACAATACTGGTGTTGCTATGTGAGCTAGAGTTATTGCCACCAATACTCTACAGGTCTCAGCCTCTATGTTCTGCAACTTTAGAAGCAGCACAAAACAAAACGGAAATTATCGGACATTGAACTGTCTCTCTAACCTCTGCTTCTCTGACACTTTGTGAGTCTAAGTGGGGCTCCGTTGCGTGCGGATGTACCTTGTTGCAAGCGAACGTGGCGCTGGAGAGGAGTTTGGCGACGATCTGTTAAAGAAAGAAGAGCCAAGAGGGATGAGAGGGATGAGAGGGAAGAGAATGGAAGAATGCATCTTGAAGAGTTCTTCAGGAATCAGCAATGCTAAATTCCATCAGCCACTGTCTGAGCAGGGATTGCCAAGGGCGGAGCTCAACAAAACATATTCCTAGATCAGTCACTAGATCCGCTGGATCTGGAGCTCCTAGGAGTTCGATTGGTGGAGGCACCCTAAAACGCGCCCTGCCGACCCTTCCCACCCCGTCGCCCTGGACGCTGCTCAGCTGCCGGAGCTCAAAGGAGACCGGCTTACCCAACTGGCTCTGCTGTTCGGATAGAACCTTCTCAGCCACTGCCTTAGAAGAAAAAACAAACATAATGCCTTCAAAAAAAATGATGCAAAATATTAATAGACTAGACTATGATAATGTAGATCAATAGGACCCTTTCAAAAACATTGAACGATTGGTGAATATGGTCGTGCAATAACCTATCTGGGATAACTACACTTCTTCTGGTCCTCGGTTTGTTCAAGAACACACCGGTTGTCTTCTTGCACTTTTTCTTTCGGTGCTGGTTCGTTTGGCATTGCGGGCGACAAAAGCCATGTGCAATTCAAGCGTCACTTTGGCCGTTGGCCAAGAATTGCTTTCCCATTGGCGCCGCATAGCCTTCAAGAGTTTGCACCACTCGCCATCCTCGTCCCAAAAGGGCTGCAGCATCAGGAAATGCGGGAAAACAAAAAGCTGCGTTAAACCCCAAGGCCTTTGAGAAGGAGTTCTGTAGATCCTGGTAAGGCATCTACGGTTGACGGATCGGGATGACGAACCAGTTCAAGGTCGGGCCACGACGGGATGGAAACAAAGACAGGTCTGGAAGAAGGATGAAAAAGGTGCAAAGATGTGCAAAGCGAAAAGAAAGGTGCAAAGCACAACTAGAAATGGGAAAGAAATGAAAAACGCATGCGAGTCTCGTCCCTCCATCCAGGGCGGATAGTACAAGTCATCGGGGCCCCAGCCTGTCGCAAAGGAAAATCCAAGACCGTTCAATATGTTTCAATGATCTAAACCTCCGAACTGATATTCTTTCACGGTTCAAATACCTCATATGAACACATGAGAAACTTGATCAGTCATGATAAGTCACACCAAACTGGGCAAATCTTCTCTTTACCGTCGGCTAGTCACCAACACGTGTATCAAACAACTGAAGCAAGGCAATTAGGGTCCGTGGACTGGCCACTGCATGTGAGGCATGGTCCCAATCAGCTGTCCCCCCGACACTTTCTGTTGGGTAGCCTTAGAGGTTCGGAGAGTGTTGTATGTCCATCTATGCTTTAGACTGTTTCTTGTTCTTTTCCTAGTAGCTTCTTGCTACTAGTAGCGTCCTTTGCTCCTAGTAGCGATGCCAGGAGCCCCTAGTACCGTCCTTCCTCCTACCCCCCCCCCCGCGCGCGCGCGCGCGCCGCGCGAAAACGTCCTAGTAGCTTCTTGTTTCAATTCTAATTAAATATACTACAGTAATTCTTTCTAATAGCTTCTTATTAATCACTAGTAGTAAGGCCAGGAGCCCCTAGTAGCGTTCTATGCTTTAGACTTTAGACCTTTAAACTGTCGAAGTCGTGGATTTGCCTGCTATGAAGCCACTGGGAAGTTTCTCCACCTGGCAAGAACGAACGCACCGCTGAGTGCACCGCTGAGCACACCGAGCGAAGAAAGTCTTGAATCCTCCAACCTAGTAGCTTCTTGCTACTAGTAGCGTTCTTGCTCCTATAGTAGCAAACGGCCAGGAGCCCCTAGTAGCGTTCGATGGCCTCCACAATTTTCTGTCCAATGAGCACTTCGGTTTCTCTTCATGTCTGTGTAGCTCCGAGTATGGAAAACAGCCCCGACTGCCCTTCTTGCTTCGACATGCAATCCCGCAGAGTTCGACCTCGGTGCCGTTGAAGCGCAGCTGCAGCTGCGTCTTCTCCACCTTCTCTTTCAGCTCCTCTCGGTCGCTGTGTTTTTTGCTTGTAAGTTGGCGGCCATCGCTATCTTGGAGGCCATCGCTAGAGTAATTAGGTGCTTCTCGTTCCTGGTTGGTTTCTTCTTTTTTTCGTTTCGGCCCAAGCATAGAAACAAGAAGCTAGTAGTGCCTTACTAGTAGTAATGAGAAGCTATTAGTAACAATCCTTCGGCCTTTTCGTCCCATTTCTCGATCTCCTCGGCCCAAACGGCGTCGCGTTCGCAGCGTGGAGCCAGCGCCAGCGAGGCTGAGAGTAGGGAGTTGCGGCGACCCTGAATGGTGCGGTTTTACACCTTTCGGATCCTTTTTTGCACAACAATGCACAACATAGATAGGTCTGGAATGGTACGAGAACTAGTTCAACATGAGAGTATTCATTTACAAATTTGCTCTGACAGCTTAGGTGCAAGTTTGGCCAACCCACGAAGACACATGCTCTTCAGGCAATCACAAAAAAATTGGGGTTAAATGATTTGCCCTTTGCTACTAGTAGTTTCTTGTTACTAGTAGCGTTCTTGTTCCTACTAGCTTTGGGGAGTGAACTGATTTGGAGCATGGGTAAACGATGGTGCCCACGAAAAGGATAGACTAGAAACACAAAGGTGGGCGCAAGCCTCTGCGAATAACCAAGCCAACCTGGTCAACGTACACTCACATCAAATCAAAGATCAAAGATGTCAAAGCAATATATCAAGCGATATCAGCTTTTCCAGTGCTCCAGGTTCTGAGTCGGTCCTCTTGTCTGCAAGAGTCCGCAAGCCTTACGCTGCATCCTGCCTGGGCCCGGCCAAAGCCGCCAGGGCCAGAAGCGCACGCCTGCGAGAGAAGAACTCCGCTACAAAGCCCTCAAAAAAGTGTGCTTGAAACTAACACCAATGGGAACCGAATTGTATTGGCCTCGAACCTAAGAGCGATGGTCTGGTTTTCTCTAAACGTTGCGCTGCCTCACCGCCACGTCTTTGAGGCATGGCGTGAGAGGAACATCGAAACGCAATCGTGGCATTCGTAAGGCGTTCGTAAGGTATATAGTAAGGTGCCTTGTTACTAGTAGTGTCCTTGCTTAATGCCTGGAGCTACTAGTAGCTTCTTGCTACTGGTAAGGTGCCTTGCTATTAGTGTTCTTTCACAATGAGGTCCATTTCCTGCCAGCCTAGAGAAGGGTAGTTCAGTCTCGGAAGGTGTTATCTGCTGTTTTGCTTGGCAGTGCTTCTGCGAGATCTAATGAAGTTGGACCCAAGGAAAGAGTGGGAGTGCAAAGGGCAGGCAGTGCACACTTTCATTCTGCTTCCTTCGTAGAGGAGCAAGAGACCTACACATTGATTCCTCTTGGAAATGTGCTGAGTGCACGGAGTACTGCGAAATGTCCAAGGCTGAAGAACTTGAGCCTCATGCTGCAGGGAAAGCTTTTCGACTGCTGAATTGCCCGGTCAGTGCTTTAAGTGTTCACCCCAAAATGCCGCGGCTCTGTGTCCTCAACTTGCCAGCACAGTGCAAGCAAAAAAGGTGCGCGCAAGCGGCAAGGATGGCACCTCAGGTCAGTCAACGCGTCCATAAACCGCGAAACGGCATGAAATCCGTGGTTGGCATGAGAACAACTGTCACAGCATGAGTCAAGAGCCTGTGTGGGGTTCAGAGATGGTGAGATGGTGGTTGAACAGTTGAACATCAAATACGAACAGGCCGTTGCTGTTAGGTTGGAGGCCATCGCTAGTAGGTTGGAGGCCATCAAGGTTTCTCTTTGCGCTTCCCAGATACGCTCTGTAGGTGGTGGCTCATTGAGACACACAGGGCATTGAAAGTTTTGAGCTTCAGCAGCATCCAACATCGCTGAGAGGAAGGCATGCTCGTAGCTCCTTCGAAAAGCGGCTTGAAGAGTTTCTCAAGAAGTACAGTAAGTATGCAGAAAAGCCATGTACAAAGCCATCAAAGAGTTGGTTTGGACAACAAACCTGGAAGCCATTATAAGCCATGTAGCATAATTGTGGTCATCTTCCATTTCACAAGAAGCTGATCTCCTTTGTCTGAAGGCTTCTTTGGCCTGTTTCACTTCTTCCAGCAGCTCCAAGCCAGCAGCCACCTGGGACAGGGAAGGGTCAATCCCGCTTGCAAAACAAAGCCGGCCTCCGACCTAATAGCATCCTAGTTACTAGTGGCTTCTTGCTCCTAGTAGTAAGGCCAGGAGCCCCTAGTAGCGAACATTGCTCCTAGTAGCGATGCCCTTTGCTCCGTTCGTAGCTTCCAACCTACTAGCAACGACCTCCAAACCGGAGGCCTTTTCCGCATCGCAGATCCGATCGGCGTCGGACCTCCACCACCTCCGCAGACTCCGCAGACGCTGGCGGCTCCGATCGAACCTCCAAGATCGCCTGGAGGATCAAGGCATCGGCCTCGCGCTCGTGCCTCGAGCGTCGCACTTCATCTCCGGGTCACCTCTTGTTTCTTTTACTTCGTCACAAAGTTGAAGATCAAGCGACATCTATGCAGGTCCAAAAATGCGCTCATAAGTATGTATAGATAGATGTCGCGGTTCGATTCGACCTTTTACCCGCCTCCGGCGGCCTTTGCTGGCGGCGGAGCGCGCCGCTTTGGCGCCTTCCACCTGCGAGACCGTCCGCTCGCAGCTCACGGCTCGCACGCCGCCTGGGTCTCCGCGGTCCAAAGACCGGTCGGACCGGGTGAGAGAAGTCGGGAACTAGTAACAAGTGCCACGCTAGTAGTAACAGGTGCCTTACTAGTAGTA